GCGCGGCGGCTGGAGCCTGGAGGAGGAGTTCAACTACACGGTGCCGGGCCCCGGGCTCGTGGGCCAGCCCTTCCTGCGCCAGTGCCGGCAGTACGAGGTGGACTGGAACCAGAGCGCCCTGGGCTGCGTGGACCCGCTGGCCGACCTGGCTGCCAATAGGAGCCACCTGCCGCTGGGCCCCTGTCAGCACGGCTGGGTGTACGACACGCCCGGCTCCTCCATCGTCACTGAGGTGAGTGGGCTCAGGGCGCAGGACGAAAGAGGAGTTGAGCTTTTCTAAGGAAGACGCCTGGAGAGGCCTGGCTCTCAGAACCACGCTCCGACTGGCTCTGCAGGCTCAGCCTTAGGAGCCCCGTTTCCAAATGCAAACACGCAGCGTCTGCGTGCTGGGCGTGTGAGCAGATCAGTTAAAACCTCAGCAGACGTGACGGTCTGTGCAAGCTCAGCCTTGGAAGTGAGCGAGGCGCCTGAGCACTCTGGAGACAACCCCAGAAAGGGAGAGTGTTCAGGCCTTCTCTTCTTCCGGAAGTCCTGCCTCGCTCGCCCTCTGTGCCGGTTACAGACGGACACGTGAGACGCAGAGCTCGCCCCTCAGTGCCTTCGCGGGAGACAGTGCGCTTTCCTCCCGGCAGCTGCTGTTTCTCTCTCAAAATGTCCATGAGCGTCTAGAGATTGTGCTAAGGTGTTACTATGCCATCAAAAACCGCAGTTGGGGCCGGCAGATGCCATAGCGGTTATGTCACTATACTCCCACATGGCCAAGTCCTGGGCCTGGCGACTCGAAACTCACGCCAGGTGTGCGTGGAGAATGGAGAAGGAATTGTGGCACGGCCAGCCCCCAGGGTGATTTCTCACCCCTCTCACTGTCCCTCCCTCCCTCTCTGATGAGCGCACACACCCTAAGGCAAAAACTTCCAAAAAAAATATACAGCCAACATTAAAATCTATTGTGAAGCTTCATTTCAATAAATATAGAGAAAACCAAAAAACAGACTTGCTTTGGGAACCAGCAGTTAGCGTAATGGCTATGTCGCTGGACTCCCACATAGTCGACCGCGGTTCTCATCCCGGACCCGGTGGCTTCAAACTCACGCCAGGCGCGTGTGCGTGCGTGCCCAAGATCCCGAGAGGAGAATGGAGAAGAAGGGATTGCAGCATGGCCATCCCCCCTGGGGGGTGATTTCTCGGTTTCTGTCTCTATGTCTCTCTCTGTCTGGCGAGCACACGTGCCCTATAGCGAAAACCTCTCAAAAAAAAAAAAAAAACAGACTTGCTTTTATTAGAGGCAAAGCAAAATGGGAGATTAAATTATTATTCCGAAAATGCAAGAAAGGCAGTTGTGTCAGGTAGAGGCAGGAGGGTGGAATAGCTTCCCTCACCCAGCAGGAGGGTCACACCAGACACTGTTGCT